TTATTTGGGAAAATAATTGAATTCTTGTAAAGTGTTAAACAAAGAATTTATTTTTTTGAAAAATAATTGAATTTTTCGGAAGAATTATATTAAATTCTTTTTATAATTGAATTCTTGTGAAAAATGTTATTATTTGGTAAAATAATTGATTAATTGTAAAGAATGATAGAAAGAATTCAAGAATTTAGAAATTAAAAAAAAAATCTTGAATTTCTGAGAAGAATTTTAATATTTATAAAAATAATTCAATTCTTGCGAAGAATTTGATTTATTTAATTCTTCTTAAATAATTGAATTCTCGTGAAAAATTTTATTATTTGGAAAAATAATTGAATTCTTGTAAAGAATTAGTGTAATTAATCTATAAGAAAGTATTCAAATGGTAGCAAATTATTGTAAAAAAGTAGTAAATAGTAGGTTTTACTAGAAGAGTGCAATGTTTAGAATATTAATAAATTTATAGATTGATATTTAAACGGAAATCTATTTAAATCTAAATTAAGTTTGAATAGAAATTTATATAAATTTAAATTAAATTGAATTAAATAGAAAAATTTAAAAAAAATTACTATTAAATAGAAATCTATTTATATCTAATTAGTAATCTATTTAAATATGTACTTTGTTTAAACCGTAATTTATTTAAATCTAAATGGTAAATCTTTTTAAATCTAAATGATAAATCTATTTAAACCTAAACAGTAATCTATTAAAATCTACACACAAATCTATTTAAATTTAAATTAATCATGTTTATAAATTTTATTATTTAATTAACTTTACTTTTCTTTTTTTTTTTTTTTTAAGATCCAAACGAAACGTGCCATTCGAGAATATTATTACCTCGCGAATACACTTTCTAGGAATGTGTACAGTCAACTCTCGATAAGACAAAGCGCGATAACTCAAATTTTTCGGTAAGTCAAAGTAATTCTTAGGTCCCGTTCATTCCTTATAAGCATTATTAACATTTGATAACTCAAACTTTTCGATAACTCAAAGTTTTTTCGGTCTCCCTTCGAGTTTGTCTTATCGAGAGTTGACTGTATATTGTATATATTTGTGACGCGTTCCCAAGAAAGGTACCTAAGAAGCAAAAAATTTGAGGTTATGTTTTAAATTTTTTGAGTAAAAATACAGAAAGAGAATCAATTAATAATTAAAAATTGTTGGTCTTCAAGTCTTTATTATATTCAAAATATTTAATGAATATTGGTTTCAAATGCAAATAATTAAAAATGAACTTTTAATCAAGATAAATCTAACTCGAACCCAACCTATAATTCGTTTGCTTCTTAGGTACCTTTCTTGGGGTCGCGTCACATTTCTTGACATGTCCGCCGTTTGGATGTCTCTCGGGAGATTTCATTTTGTGGAAACGAGATCTCATGATCTCCGCCCTGAATGCGCGTATTCAGAATGTAATACGTTTGTGTTTCATGTTGCAATGAGATGTTAATTACCAACAACAGCCAGGTTATTATTCCCAATACCCCCCCGTGCTGCTACCACGGGACTTATGAAATGAATTCTCACACTCCTTTATCTTTCCATCTCTCTTCTTTTTTTTCTATTTCAACAGAGGAGCGAGCACGCGCCTATTTATACGTTTCATTTACACTGTTATATAGCGTACGTGTAAATGTATAATTATAATAATACATATACAATAATTAAACCATCAATACACCACAAAAATATTTAAAAAAAAAAAATTAATATATATAATTATCATTCAGTAAACGATTAACTAGATTACTAGATACGTGACTATAGAAGCAACGTCGAATCAATTTTATTAGATTGTAAACGAGAGTCCGCGAAGAAACGCGGAAGTGGTCACTTTATAAATTCATTAAGTTATAAAATAGCAGATCCACGATTATTATTATCTCTCGACGTTGATCCAATTAAATAACAAAATTGTGCCTTAGTTTCCTGTATTTATTTGACAGCAATGTCCGTTTTCTAGAAACGATAATCCTGCACGAAATTCCAGTCACACTATAAGAAAATCTGACCAGTTTTTCAATCATTTTTGTTTTAAGATTTAAAAAGTTTCATACTGCTTCGTCTGTGACCTAACAATTTTTTTTTACAGATATTTTAAATTGGGACAAAAAATTGTTGCGATGCAACTTTTACATTCATATTTTATTACCCCAAAAAAAGAATATATTCTCATTGGCATTATTAAACAACATACAGTCATAAATTAAAAAAAAAAAAAAGAATAAATCTAAAGGAAACAAAATAGAAATATCGCGAAATGAAGTCCCACGATTCACTTTTTCAATGATGTAACAATACATTACTCTCTCGCTTCTAATAATAAAGAGTGTGACATTAATGAGTGTATTGTTTCTTTAAAAGAGGAATAAAAAAAAAATGCGTTTGTCAAAAATACATAAAAAAAAAAAAAATTTTATTATTGAACGCGGGATCAGAGTGTGTGTTACAATTATTATCAAATTCAAGACTTCCGCCTCACGGGAATTGCGTTTATGTTTTCAAAGTATATATAATTGAAGGAGGCGGAGCTCCTTTGGAGAGCAATATGGAAAATGAAAGGGACGAAAGGACCGTGTATTTCTTCACTGAGCGCGCGCGGTATAGATTCAAATATTTCACGATTATTCCATTAGATTCTTTATGGTGATCACGATATTTAATTGAAACGTATCGCTATGATACTTGATTCACGAATTTAAACTTAAACACACACTTTTCTTGAAATTCTAATAATATCACAAAAATTTGTAGAGATTAATTGCTTTTAAATTGTTTTGGATAATAATTTCTCCGTTTATGGAGAGATGATTGAAATTTAATTTAAATTTAATTTTATTAGATCTGTGTATTTTATTGATGTTGTTAATTATATCATCGGTGTATTTTAACTTTATTGTTATTATATAATCGCTGTATTGTATTTTATTTATTTATTTATTTATTATTTTATTATTTATTTATTTTATCGTTATAATCTCTGTAATTAAAGTAATTGCTAAATTAGATTTGATTTCTGGTATTAAAAATGGAACCAAATAACGATTTAATTGGTGTAACTTTATCTTTAATTTGGTTCTAAATTAAGATATTGATATTTATCATTTTCCAGTGTATTAGTTAAATTGTTTTTATTATTATAGTTGGCTATTCAAGATATAAATAATAAATAATAAACAGTAAATAATGAATCAATTACTAAGCGTCAGGCGATTGAAATGATTCAAAGATGACATCAATCATGAAACAAATCATTTTGTGATTTTACAAAATGACAATTCTCATCTTTCTTCATTGATGATCGTAACATTTATATCAAACGAGGTTATGAAAATAACATAATTTGTGACATAATTTGTTCTGTAACAATATAATTTATTTCAAGTACAAAATATTATTCACATCATCGGAAAATAGCGTTTGACATCACTATGAATATTGTCTATAAAAAAAAAATATTTTCTTCTTACAAATAACTAAATTTTCTAACGCAATATTTTTGTTACAGTAAAATTAGTTTCTATCTCAATTATCAGACTTTCCTGTTTTGTTATTTTATTACATAATTAAAAGTAATTATATAGTTTACAAACATTTTTTTACATCTTACATCGGATTCAATACATTTTTCATAATATTTTTTCAAATTAAATTGACCTCCGAAGAATGGTACCTAAGAATCATGCCATTTTAAGGTTATGTTTGTACTATTTTTCCTATTTTTAATTTAATTAAAAGTTTCTGTTTAATTCTATACAAATTGAAATCAGTTTTTATTAAATATTTTAGATGTAAAAAGATTTAAACTTTAGTGAGTTATATTTACTTTTGGAGTTAATCTAATTTAAGTACTTTTATTCCAAAAATTATAAACATAACGTCAAATTTTTTGCTTCTTAGATACCTTCCTTGGGAGTGCGTCACAAATAATAATTAGTGCCCTCCACTGTCATGTAATCGAACAATGCAAAACTATTAGGACCTAGCTAGTCAATAAAGTACTCATTATTACTCTAGGACAATAAAGTACTCATTATTACCCTAGGGCAATAAAGTGTACTTCATTGACCACTACTCACAGGTCAAGAAAGTATTGATTATTACCCTAGGGGAATAATGAACACTTTAATGACCAGCTGGGTCCTAACAGTTTTGCTAAAATTAGGATTTGGAAATGCTCCTTCTTCAAAAAATTACTAATTAGGACCCAGCTGGTCAAGAAAGTATTCATTATTACCCTAGGGCAATAATGGCCACTTTAATGACCAGCTGGGTCCTAATAGTTTTGCTAAAATTAGGATTTGGAAATGCTCCGTCTTAAAAAAATTACTAATTAGGACCCAGCTGGTCAAGAAAGTATTCATTATTACCCTAGGGCAGTAATGGCCACTTTAATGATCAGCTGGGTCTTAATAGTTTTGCTAAAAATAGCATTTAGAAATGCTCCAAATAATGGAGCTAAATGACCAGCTGGGTCCTAATAGTTTTGCTAAAATTAGGATTTGGAAATGCTCCTTCTTCAAAAAATTACTAATTAGGACCCAGCTGGTCAAGAAAGTATTCATTATTACCCTAGGGCAATAATGGCCACTTTAATGACCCGCTTGGGTCCTAATAGTTTTGCTAAAATTAGGATTTGGAAATGCTCCAACTTCAAAAAATTACTGACTTATTATTGAAAAAAAATTAAAAAATTTTATTTATTGAAAAAAATTAAAAACAAGGGATTTCATTATCTAAGTTCAGCGAATCTTTTCGGATGTCAAGATTAATTAATTTGTATTTTTGATCTGAACAGTTTTAACTTTTTAGTTAGTCCACATGCCACTAGAAACCTCGTTCGATCTAGGTGAATTATCTCAGTTTAGATGTTTCAATGCAAGCAAAAGTTTGCCGCAAGTATTAAAAAATAACCGATTAAAAAAATTAAAAAATTAAAAAAATTAAAAACCGATTATTACGAAATAAAAATTAGAAATCATTGCACTGACCTTTTAGAAATTTTACATTTTCTTCCTCGCCTCCTTCTCCTCCTCAGAATCATCCGTTATAATCTGAACACTTCGAATAGGTCCCATTTTCCTGTATCTCGACGTACTGGGCACAGCCATTGACATCGGTGGTCGTTCCACATTGATAGCCAACTGTAGCATTCGCAACAATAAAGCCTCCCTAATCGGTGGCGGTAAAATTTCATCCCCATCCTCCGAATCCTCAGGTCCGTAGAATTTTTGCCGATAAACCCTTTTGGAATAAGGCGCTTCCATATAGTCGTCATACCTCATCTGATAGGCAGGTGCGACATTCCTAGAGTAACCCGATGATGATGATGATGATGCCGAAGTTGATCTGACGAGTGGGACCCTGTCGCCATATCGTGGTTCGAAGCTACCATCCTGTCTGGGTGCGGACGTCCGATACGGGGACTGATACGATGGATATGGTTGCTGATCGTAGAGCGCGTCTTCCAAGTAGGTCTTTGGGTACGTTAGGGCCTGAACTCCGTATTGACTCACAAGGAGTCTTCTTAGTAGCATTTGGAAGTCACGACGACTCAGAGGTGGTGCGATCGGATTCGGTGGTTCTGGCGGCAAGGCTATGGGTCCGGAGTATTGATAGCCGTCCGGGGAGAGATTTTGATAGTCCCGATCGTCGATGGGTCGGGGAATGGGCCTGACGGGCTGGAGCATTGGTCGAGATCGGGGTTCGTAGGGCGGGAGGGGACGGTAGATTCTGTCTCTCCGGACGTATTCCTGGTTCACTCGGGGATCGTCCACTGGTTGTTCGGTTAGGTAATGAACGTTCGGTTCGGTGGTTGTTGTGGGGTAGACATTCTGTTGGGGTCTGTAGAGAACGCGATTGTTCGTACGGTAGTTCGCCGGTTCTTCCTCTAGAAGGTTTTCGATTGGGGGTCCTCGGACCAAGATCCCTCCTGGTGGTAGGACCCGGTAGTCTTGCTGACGAACGTAAACTGGTTGTTCTGCTGTCGTCTGCAAATCTCGCGGTTGTTCCTGAGGACCAAGGAGTATTTGTTGCTGCATCGCGGCCGCATTTGCCCTGTCGTCCTGGACTTTTGGTTCTGGGTCGAACCTAGCGGGTCCTAAGTTGTTGTTGATGAAGACCGATTTCGTCCGTTCGGGTCTTAGGGGCGCGACGCGTTGAATAATCCTCGGAGGATTGCCGGTGGTGAACAAAGGTCTTGTAGTAGACAAAGCGCCTCCATAGACATGATCCCCATGATCATCCTCGATATTCTCGATTTTAACGATCGGAACTGCCTTCGTTGTCTCCTCGTGCAATTGTCTTCTCAACGAATTCCCGGTCGTGATCTTATCGTCCTCCTCCTTCTCCTCGAATTCCTCCGTAATTGGCCTTAGCGTCACGTCCACCGGTCGTTTAGCAAAGATGATCTTTCTAAAAGCCGAAACTTTTTCCTCGGGTTTTTTCGTTTGGGTGTCTTCAGTCGATGATTCCTCCTCGAGAATTGGAGGACGTTGCTGGCCATTGATGATGAAACGGGGTCGACTTCGGGTTGTGGTTCGAAAATGTGATAGACCGGGTTTTGTGGTGGATTCGATTGACGATGAAGTGATGGTTGTTGGTGAAATGGGTGTTGTTGTGGTTTTTCGGGTTCTTGGTATTGATTGAACTACTGAGGATTTTGTTGAGGTTTCTGAGGATGTTGCGTAGACAACTGTGGGTGGCTTCCTCGTGGATGATGTTGTACGATTGTGTCGACTCTGGACTGCTGTGACGTGTTCCTGCAATGGTGAGACGGTGGTCGATTTAAAGCCAGTTCCATTTGAGGAGGTGTAGGAGACCCTTTTTATTTCGCCGTCGGCGTCGACGAAACCGAAAGTGCCCTTTACGTTGCCTAACACGTCACGGCTCTCGACCTAGCAAGCACGCATTCTCACTTTCAGACGACATTTTCGCTTCTTTGTGATATATCATTGAGACACTCTTATTTGTTAGCCCTCCATCATTCGCTCACTTAATTTTTTTCTTAAGGCCATGCGGGGAGAGTTGGGTGAACTTTAAGATAAGTAAGGTGAAGATTAATTTGAATCTTTAACTAGACTTTTTAGTCTTAACATTCCTTAAACTTAAATTTAACTTGACCTAATCTCAATTTAACTTAAACTTAGCTTTAACTAGATTTAAACATTAGTTAATCTTAACCTTAGTTAAACTTAACTTGATTTAATCTAAACTTAACTTAAACTTAGCTTTAACTAGATTTGAACTTTTAATCTTAACCTTACTTAAACTTAACTTTAACCTTACTTAAACTTAACTTTAACATGGACTTAAATTTAACTAGACTTAAACTTGACTTAAACTTAAATTAACTTAACTTCAATTTGAATTATTCTTCATCTTACTTAATTTTAAGTTAATTAAAGTTTAAGCCAAGTTTAAGTCTAGTTAGAGATAAATTTACGTAAAGTTTGAGTCAAATTTAAGTTAAGTTCAAGAAAGGTTAAAAGATTAAGTCATGTTAAAGTTAAGTAAATTTAAATTAAAGTTTAGTTAAATTTAGTTTCAAGTTAAGTTAAAATTAAGTCCAGTTAAAGTTAAGTTAATTTAACATTATGTCAAGTTTAGGTCAACTTAAAGTTAAGTTAATTTAACTATACGTCAAGTTTAAATTTAATTAAAGTTAAATTTGAGCAAAGTTTGAGTCAATTGAAAGTTAAGTTAATTAAAGTTTAAGTTAAGCTTCAGTAAAGTTTGAGTCAAGTAAAAGTTAAGTTTAAGTAAGGTTAAGATTAAGTCAAGTCAAAGTTAATTTAAGTTCAAGTAAAATTTAAGTCTAGTTAAAATTAAGATAAAATCAGGTCAAAATTAAGGTCAAGTCAAATTTAAATTAAGTTTAAGTTAGGTTAAGATTAATTCTAGTTAAAGTTAAGTTATTTTAATTTCTAGTCAAGTTTAAGTCTAGTTAAGTTAACTTTAAGGTAGGTTAAGTTAAAGTTAAGTTATTTTAAATTCAAGTCAAGGTTAAATCTAGTTAAAGTTAAGTTTAAGTGAACTTACAGTTAAGTTAATTAAAGTTTAAGTAAAATTTAAGTCAAGTTAAAGTTAAATTAATTAAAGTTTAAGCCAATTCAAAGTTAATTAAAGTTTAAGTAAAATTTAAATCTAGTTTAATTTGAGTTTAAATTAGGTTAAAGTAAAGTTTAAGTCTTTCAGTTAAGTTAAAGGTAGGTTATGATTAATTCAAGATAAAGTTAATTTTTTTTTATTTTTAGTCAAGTTTAAGTCTAGTTTAAGTTAAGTTTAAGTTAGGTTAAAATTAATTTAAGTTAAAATTAAGTTATTTTAAGTTCAAATCAAGTTTATGTCTAGTTAAAGTTGAGTTAATTAAAGTTTAAGTCAAGTTTAAGTCAAGTTTGAGGCAAGTTAAAGTTAAATTAATTAAAGTTTAAGTCAAGTCAAATTAAAGTTAATTTAAGTTAAAGTAAAATTTAAATTTAGTTAAAGTTATGTTTAAATCACGTCAAAGTTAAGTTCAAGTCAAATTTAAGTTATGTTTAAGGTAGGTTAAGGTTAATGCAATTTAAAATTAAGTTATTTTAATTTTTAGTCAAGTTTAAATCTGGTTAAGTTAAGTTTAAGGAAAGTATGAGTCAAGTTATAGTTATAAGTTTAAATAAGGTTAAGATAAAGTCAATTTAATGTTAACTTGAAGTTATGGTAGGTTAAGTTTAAGTCTCGTTAAAGTTAAAGTTAAGTTTATAGAAAAATATTAGTTTTACTTTAATTTTTTTTTTTTTTTAAAGTTTTTGCGAATGATGGAGGGTTAAAATAACTGTATTTTTCCCTATTAACGGAGTCTTTCTTTTTTTTTAAAGCAAATATAAAAATCAAATGTACCTTAAATGAACCATCGCCAGCCTCATAGCCAAAAGTATATGATCCATCTTCATTGACTTTCCTAATTTGCTTAAGAATAGCCACCTGTTGATTACTTTCTGACGCCTGTTGATCGGTGATATTTGAACATCCAGCAGTAGCCAAGCAGAAAATTGCCATCAACCATGGCGTCATCTTTAACATAAAAAAAAAATTACTTCTTTATTTTAGAAAAATTATATCAAAAAGAAATTCTGTAAAAAAAATTACTTCTTCAGTTTAGAAAAATTTATTAAAAAGAAATTCCATAAAAAATTACTTCTTTATTTTGGAAAAATTATATCAAAAAGAAATTCTGTAAAAAAAATTACTTCTTCATTTTAGAAAAATTTATTAAAAAGAAATTCCATAAAAAATTACTTCTTTATTTTGGAAAAATTATATCAAAAAGAAATTCTGTAAAAAAAATTACTTCTTCATTTTAGAAAAATTTATTAAAAAGAAATTCCATAAAAAATTACTTCTTTATTTTGGAAAAATTATCAAAAAGAAATTCTATAAAAAAATTACTTCTTTATTTTAGAAAAACTGTCAAAAAGAAATTCCACAAAAAAAATTACTTCTTTATTTCGGAAAAATTACAAACAATTCTATGAAAGAAAATAATATTTCTACAGAGGAAAACTAGTTTTTTTTTTTAAATTAATTTATTAAATTATTTTTTTCGTTTTACAATTGTTTACAATTTTAATTACAATTAAATTATAAATTTAATTAATTAGAGTTTTTTACGATTCCAAGGAAGGAAATAAATTGAAAAAGTAGAATTAAAATTAGAATATAATTAGAAAAAGAATACGAAAAAATGTTTAGAAAAATCATTTGCACTTCTTGAAAAAAAAAAAATTAATATTTTAATATTATTTATTTTATGTTTATCATTTATTTTAATAATATTTCAATTATCACAATATTCTCATGTAGAAAATTATTGTTGAATTTCATTGCCTTTTCGCATTTATGCAAAAGTAAAATAGAGACATTAAAAAAAAGGTGCATCTTTTTATTTTTCTTTCAAGATTTTCTCAGAGTCCCTGAGAAATGAAGAAAAAAAATTCGAAATCTGACTTTAATAATTATTGTCACAGAACAGTAGAACAAAAGGGAAAAGAGACTTCTTAAAACAACGGAACAATTTGCATTCATTATTATTTTACTTTCTGCTTTTGTGTAATTTAACTTGGTGAAAAAAGTTTCAACTATTTATTGCTTTATTTGGCATTTCATTGACCATTAAGATAATTACACTTATGCCAATAAAGATATATAATTAATCTTTCAATTTTTAGTTCAAATTTACAATTTCTTTATACAATTAGAATTTCTTCAGAATTACAATTTCTTTAAAATTAGAATTTCTTAACAATTATAATTTCTTTACAATTACAATTTGTTTTAACAAAAAAAAACCAATTTCTTTAGAATTACAATTTGTTTTAACAAAAAAAACCAATTTCTTTAGAATTATACTCGAATTATTTTTTATGGAACCAAAAAAATTCATTTTTTTAGAATTATACACAATTTTGTTTTATTAAACAAAAAAAATACATTTTTTTTAGAATTATACACGATTTTTTTTTATTAAACCAAAAGAATACATTTTTTTAGAACTATACCCAATTTTTATTTTTTTTTTCTTTATTGAACCAAAAAAATACAGCCGAAGGTAAACCATTTTACAGGCACTAAAAATTAAAGTAATCGTTGTGCATAAAAAAAAGAAGATAGAAGGAAATTAAAAGTTGGAATAAATTTACGTACAATCATTTTTTCTACACACTTTGATCCTTCTTGACACTATTTTAAGAAACAAACACTTGGAATATTGTCCAATATTCGAGATTTACGATAATAAGATGATTCAAGAAAATAGCACTTTTTTGGGGGGGGGGAAACTAAATTTTATTTTGTTTAAATATTCACACTGAAGAATTCATATTTATCGTATAAGGAAAATACAAATTAATACATAATTTTTTTTTTTTTGAGAAATGTAGTCGCGAGTTGAAGACACGAGCCGGTGGAAACGTCAAACACTATTTCACTGTAAGACGGAGGTACAGAAACAAACTCGCGTAAAGTAAGTTAGATTCCATGTTACCGCACATGCGGTGAATGTTTACAATAGCGTGCGGGGTGCTAGGAGAGCCGTTATATATGGAGTGACACAATAGAAACCACCACCCTACAAACAATCTCTCCTGTCTAGTGTCTTGTTGACGTGAATTTAACCTTCATGATTAACCTACATCCATCAGATTGGGGTATGTGTTTTATATTTAAATGTATTAATTAATTTCACATTAAACCATTAATGTACAGAATCAGTATCATTGATTATTGCTAACTTTTCTTGTACATACTCTTTGTTTGTTCAGTTTTCAGATTTAGTAGGAAAATTCTAGTTTTGGATTTTTTTTACATTTTAAATTGAGACAAAAAACGTATCAAAATTGTTGCGATGCAACAATTTTAATCCGTTTTTTGTCTCAATTTAAAATATCTGTAAAAAAAACTTTTAGGTCACAAACGAAGCAGTCTGAAACTTTTTATATCTTAAAACAAAAATGATTGAAAACACTGGTCAGATTTTCCGTTTAGTAGTTAGGCATTTTTTTGCTCCAAATTCTAGAAAATATCTAATTCTTCCTGTTTTTTGTTATTTTATTTATAATTATTTATTTATTTCATTATTTTTTTGTGTTTCTTTGAATATTTAAGACTAATGAATAATTATTCCACGAATAACAATTAAAAAACTAAGAATGAAAAATTCGCTCGTATGTGGGATCGAACCCTAGACACTTTGGCGGCAACGCAAGAGAGTTACCACGCGGCCACGGTGGAATCTTAAATAATTTTTGAAATTAGTGACTGGCGAGTGTGTGAAAAAAATTTTTTATTACGATTATGATCAAATTTTCTGGTCAATTAATACTTAAGAAATTTCTACTCGGGTTTACAGGGCTCGGATCGTCTTTAAAACTCAAAAAAAAGTCGCTTTAGTCGCATAAATTCACAATATAGCAAACATTCAATTAGGTATTATTAACATTTTTTTTAAAATTCTCTTTAAAATGTCAATTACTTTTTTTATAAATAATAAAATTCTTCTCCGAAATTCACTTGTTTAATCAAAATTTTAATAAAATTCTTGTTAAAATTTCAATTATCTTTATAAGTAATAAAATTCTTCTCTGAAATTCAATTATTTTCAAAAGTAATAAAATTCTTCGCCAAAAATTCAATTATATTCAAAATTTTTTTTTACATCTCTCGTCAAAATTTTATAAATAATAAAATTCATTATGGAAATTTAATTATTTTCAAAAGTTCCGATAAAATTCTTTGCAAAATTCAATTATCTACAAAAGTAAGAAAATTCTTCGCAGAAATTCAATTATTTAAAAATTTTTTTTTTTTAAATTCTCCTCAAAATTTCAATTATTATTGTAAATATCAAAATTCTTCTGCAAATTTCAATTATTTTCAAAATTTTTTTTTAAATTCTCCTCAAAATTTCAATTATCTCTTGTAAATATCAAAATTCTTCTGCAAAATTCAATATTACTTTTAAACATTTTTTAAAAAATCTGTTCAAAATTTCAGTTATCTTTATAAATAATAACATTCTCTAAAATTTAATTATTTGCAAAAATATTAATAAAATTTTTGTCAAAATTTCAATTATCTTTATAAATAAAAAAATTCATCCTAGAAATTCAATTATTTTCAAAATTTTTTTTAAAGTTCTCGTCAAAATTTTATTTGTCTTCATAAACAATAAAATTCACTATGGAAATTTAATTATTTTCAAAAGTTCTGATAAAATTCTTTGCAAAATTCAATTATCTTCAAAAGTTAAAAAAAATTCTTCGCAGAAATTCAATTACTTACTAATGTTTTATAAATTTCTTCTCAATAATTCAATTATTTTCATAAATAATTAAATTGTTCTTAAGAATTTAATTACTTTCACAAATAATAAAATTCTTCTCAGAAATTAAATTTAAAAAAAAAATTATCAATTTTTTTTAATTTAAAAAATTTTTAAATTTCAAATTTCTTTCTTTAATTCTTCACAATTATTCAATTATTTTTCCAAATAATAAATTTTTTTACAAGAATTCAGTAATTTAAAAACAATTGAATAAAATTTTTACGAGAATTCAATTATTTAAAAAGAATTCAATTTAATTCTTCACAAAGAATTCAATTATCTTCATAAATATTAAAATTCTTCTGAAAAATTCAATTATGTTTTAAAAAATTGATAAATTCTTGGAATTCATTTTTAAATTCTTTACAATTTTTCAATTATTTTCAATACAATTTTTATAAAATTTCTTAAAAGAAATAGAATGATTGTCAAATAATTTTAATAAAATGGTCGCCAAAATTTATTCATTTTTATAAATATTAAAATTTCTGTGCATTTTTAATTCCATTATTTTTAATAAATAAATAAATAAATAAATACAATTTTACGAAAAAGCCTCAAAAGAATTAAATTATTTTAAAAATTTTTATATTTTTCGTAACAATTCAATGCTTTTTAAAACCTTTAATAAAATTCTTCTTTAGAATTCAATTATTTTACAAAATTTCGATAAAATTCATCTCAAGAATTCAATTGTTTATTAAATAACAAAATTGTTAATATAAATTCAATTATTTTTATAAATAACATAATTCTTGGCTGGAATTCAATTATTTTCCAAATTTTTATTACAATTCTGTAATAGAATATTCATTTTTTGTCTATATTTTGATAAAATTCTTTTTAAAAATTCAATTATATTCATAAATAATTGAATTGTTCTTAAGAATTTAATTATTTTTTCAAATAATAAAATTTTTCACGAGATTCAATTAGTGAAAAATAATTAAATAAAATTGTTCGCAAGAACTCAATTATTTTCATAAATAATAAAATTCTTCTCAGAAATTAAATTTTTTTTCAAATATTTATAAACTTTTTTAATTTTTTAAATATTTAATTGATAATAGTCAACTAATCGGTTATTTAAATAAAACAAATTTTTTCAGTGTATTATAAAATTAAAAATTAATTATTAAATTATTAAAAAAAAATTGCATTACTAATTATTAGTAAAAAACTACTAATTGCTAAGTTTTGTTAATTTGCACTTTCTTTGATAGCACTTTTTAAATGCTAAAGAAAGTATTACATTACAATACAATTCATATATATTAGAAGAACCCATCCGGTGACCCACATATTTATTCAGATTCACGATTTTTTTTTCGCAACTAACGAATTATCGCCTATTGTCTTTAATTCACTATTTATAAGCACGAAATTCTCATCGGGGGTACACACCACTTATTAAGGAAAAAATTTACGAAATTATTTTGCTATTGACTTTCATTGGATTACACATATTTTAATACTTCCTATCCATATGTTTTAATAAAGAGAAGAAAAAAAAAAAAAACTAGAAAAATTTCTTCATACTTTAATCGTGTGAATGTAAATTTATTAGCATCAAGAATGTAGCTTCCAGAATGATTAATTTTAATTTGAAATGCCAGTGGGTATAATCATTTAATTTTCTTCGTATTTTTTTCCCATCTGTACACTTCATTCGCGGTATTTAATTTTATTGTTTATTCTATATACATATTATTGTTTTTTAATTACATTGTTAATTATTAATATCAACGGTGAAAGTATATTTAAAAAAAAAAAAAAAAAAAAATTGGTTATTATTTTTAATAAATCATTTTATTAAAAATTTCTTTTCGATATTTATTTTTTAAGTTCAACCAAATTATTAGAATTCAATTTAGTAAAAATTTCTTTAGATTTATTTATTTTTTTTTTTTTTTTGCAGTCTCGACATTTTTACAAATTTTTAATAAAAAGTAAATTTAGCGTAAAGTAAATTTATTCACAATTTTTAGGCATTGACGAGACGATAATTTTACTATTTTACACTCTTTTTGCAATTAAAGAAATTTAATTTAGGAATTTTTTTTTTTTTTTTTTTTTTTTTTTTTTTTTAATTTAAGAAAAAATAATAGTACAAAGGTGATGATTGAGTGATGAGTTAGAAATTTAAAAAGTCAAGTGATGAGGACGGACGTTGAGCTAAGAAACGCGGGGACAAGTGAAAGCCTTCGTGGGATTTATCGTTCAAAGTAGCAAATAAGAAAGAAATAGAAGAAAAAAAACAGTAGTAGACTGTAAAATGTGTAACAATAGTTCCCATAGTGTGCAACACTTGTATTGTGGCACTAGTTCAAATCTAGTCACTCCCACAGGACAATTATTACATCACGCAATTTCCTCGCGAATTTCGCATATATCTAGTTTTGATTTTTCATCAGGATAGTGCGGCGGCAAAACGTATGTACGTCAACTTCTATTCCAATCACTCTCCTTTTTTTTCTCTCTTTCCTCCTTTTAATATTCACCTCACAAATGAGAGATTTCTATTTTGTTCTTTTTAAAACGCTTCTAATTTGCGAATAAATTCCTCCTTTTATTCTCATTTTAATTTATTCTCAAAGTCAATTGTGATTGAATTCTTTTTTAATGTCATTCAATTTTTTATTTTATTTTTGTATTTTCTTTTATTGTCTTTTTTTAATATTTTTTATTTTTTTTTATTTTTATTGTATTTTTTATATTTTTTATTTTTTTATTTTCATTGTATTTTGTTTTATTTTTTTTATTGTTTGATAGATTTTTTATAATTGAACCGCTGGCGACAAAAAGGGCTTACCGTCTTTTTTTACAAAAAAATATTTTAAATATTTAAATAATAATAAAAAAAAATAATAAAAAAAAATAATAAAAAAAATATTACCCAGGGACGTTAGTCCCTGGGTGATATATTTTTTTTATTATTTTTTTTTATACCACCCAGATAGAAATTATAAATTTTTTAACCTTATTATTATGAATTATATTATAAATTTATAAATAATGTAAATTTTAAATTTCGAAAATTTTAAATAATGAAAATTATTCGATAGAAATTGTTTTTCATTTTAAAAAATTATAACAGATTTCTTTAATTAAAATAATTAAGGTAATAAAAATAATCTACAAACTTTTGCTTCTTTGCCCCCTTTTTTCGTTTCTGTATTTTTTTTCTT